GGGAGCGGGAGGGGGTGGAGTGGGTGGTAAGGGAGGGGGTGGGGGCAGGGGGAGAAATGAACCAAGCCTTGTATGCACATATGAATAATAAAAGAAAAATGAAAAAAAAAAAAAAAAAATAAAAAAATAAAATGTTCAAAGACACACAACAAAAATAAAATAAAATAAAATAAAATGTGCTTGGTTTCATAAAATAGTTTTGCTGGGTAGAGTATCCTGGGGTTGAAATTATTTTCATTCAGTGTCTGGAAGATCTTGCCCCACGCTCTTCTGGCTTTAATGTTTCTGTTGAGAAGTCTGCTGTGATTTTGATGGGTTTACCTTTGTATGTTATTTGTTTTTTCTCTTACAGCCTTCAATTTTCTTTCTCTAGTTTCTGTACTTGGTTTAATGATGATATGCCGTGGGGTAGTTCTATTTTGATCTGGTCTGTTTGGTGTTCTGGAGGCCACTTGCATCTGTTTCGGAATATCTTTCTATAGATTTGGGAAATTTTCTGTTATTATTTTGTTGAATATATTATTCATTCCCTTTGCTTGCACCTCTTCTCCTTCTTCAATGCCCATGATTCTCAGGTTTGGTTTTTTGATGGAGTCGGTGAGTTCTTGCATTTTCTTTTCACAGGTCTTGAGTTGTTTTACTAATAGTTCTTCAGTTTTTCCTTTAATTACCATTTCATCTTCAAGTTCTGAGATTCTGTCTTCTGTTTGTTGTATTCTGCTGGATTGGCCTTCCATTTTGTTTCCCTTAGGTATTTAAGTTGATCTCTAACTAGCCAAAGCCAAACTCCCATCTTCTCCACCAAAGCAGCCCCTCCCATGGTCCTCCAAATCTGGCTAATGCCAATCCTCTCATTCCAGTGGTTCAGGCCCCACCTTGACTCATATTTAACTCTCTTTCCCCCCAGTTTTCAGCAAATTCTGCTGACTCTATCCTTAGAACATGTCCATTGTCCATTCATCCATCTATCTAATCCATCCACTCACTCACCTATCCACCTGTCCATCCATCATCCATCTGTCCATCCATGCATGCATTCATCCACTTATTCATTCATCCAGCCATTCATTCATTATTCGTTCAGCTAATATTCATGTGCCTGGCACATCTCCAGCTTGAGGGACACAAGGTTTCCACAGTCCACTGGCATCCCTCAGGAGGTGAGAGGTGACATGGCATGGACTTAGAGTTGGACATCAAGGTGGCGATATTCCGGCCAGAGAGATGTGCTCAGAAGTGATGTGTGTCCCCATCAGTCCTCTTACTCCCTCAGATCCCTCTGGGATACTCCTCCTCTCCCTTCCCATTCCTAGTGACAATGGTACTATAGGATGAACCAACTTTTAATAAATGACCTGAGCACTCACCATGCACCAGGCACTGCTGGGACATGACATCAAATCCCCACCATGGCTCTTGTGGTAGATCTTGTTTCCATTGCCTGTTTTGCAAATGAGAAAGCAGCTGGGAAGAAACTGAGCAAGCTTGCTGGATTAGTTAAGGTGTAGATGGGCTCTTAGGTCAAGTCCTAAGTAATAATGATTTAAAAAATGGAAGTTTATTTTTAATTCATGTCAGTGCAGACATAAACAACCTAAGGTAAGTTCCCTCCAGCTGTGGTTACACCATCCTCATTCTCACCATGGGGCCACACACCGACAGCAGGAGAAAGAGCAAGGCAAAGGAGGGCCTGGTCCTTAGGGGACCAAATCTGGAAGTTTCACACATCACTTCTGAGCACACCTCTCTGGCCGGAATATCGCCACCTTGATGTCCAACTCTAAGTCCATGCCATGCCACCTGTCACCTCCTGAGGGATGCCAGTGGACTGTGGAAACTTTGTGTCCCTCAAGCTGGAGCTGTGCCAGGCACATGAATATTAGCTGAATGAATAATGAATGAATGGCTGGATGAATGAATAAGTGGATGAATGCATGGATGGATGGACAGACGGATGATGGATGGACAGGTGGATAGGTGAGTGAGTGGATGGGTGGATAGATGGATGAATGGACAGATGGACATGTTCTAAGGATGGAGTCAGCAGAATTTGCTGAAAACCTGGGGAGGAAAGAGAGTTAAATATGAGTCAAGGTGGGACCTGAACCACTGGAATGAGAGGATTGGCATTAGCCAGATTTGGAGGACCATGGGAGGGGCTGCTTTGAGCCACTTCAGGCTCTGAACCAAGGGAGTCACCTCTGATTCTGCCAGCCTCTCTGTCTGAGTCACTAAGGCTGAGGGTAACAGTGACCTTGGCAGAGGCCTTCGGCTGCCTCCAACCAACTCTGGTTTTCCAGGCTAAGCTTCTGCAGGCCTTAGTGAAGTCCAAAGGATGGGGTTTATTAATTATTTGATTACATTCTTTCTTCCTCTGCTCTGCCCCCAATGTGTCAAAGGGCAGGGAGCTGATCTGTGGTGCCTCCTGTGTGTCCCACTAGTGCACAGTGGGTCCTCACTGTATAGTCCTAAGTGGCGTAAGGAACACGCTGTCCATCTAATTTGCCCTCCCTGTCCCTGATGGAGAGGGCCATTTTCCTGGTGGTTGCTTGATCATTTCTGCAGTCTCAGTGCCTGTGGAATGGCCCAGTGCAGAGTAGGTGCTGTGGCAAACAAGGACCCCCCCCCACACCTTCCCCAGGCCTTTTCACCTTTAAGAGCCCTGAGTTGTTCTGGCCGCCAAGTCCCAGCTCTCAGTCAGGAACTATCCAGGGCCACTACATGACCCAGTTCTGACCTGCTGGGGGCTTCTGGTAAGAGACAGGCACAGAGCAGAGTCCCCTTTGTGCTTTTCTTTCCTGCCATGAAGCTGCTGTGGGAGGAGGTGATGTTGACCTTTTGCAGCCATCTTTTGACTCTGGAGCTCCAAACTTTGGGAGAGAAAGCCACCATGATGAAGAGAGCAGGACAGTGCTCCTTGTTCATCACTGAGTTCTGAACAGCCTCCTCTGGAACTATTCCCAGATAAGCAATATCCTCGTTTTTAAGCATTAGTAGCCTATTCTTTCTCCTGCTTGCAGCCCAATGCGTTCTAATGGATTCAGCACCCAGTGCATGAGCTGAATAGATGAAAGCACTTGCTGTGTGCCCCATGCACTTTCCTGTGTTCATTCAGGAGTCTTGCAAGGAAGGTCCAGGTATTATTCAGGTCACAGTCAGGTGTGGTGGTGCATGCCTGCAATCTAGCACTGGGGAGGCTGAGGCAGGAGGATCCCGAGTGTGAGGCTAGCCTGGGCTGCATCGCAACACCCTGTCTCAAAAAGCCAAAAACAGACGAACCCCCTCCCCACAAAAGCAACATAAAGCATACAGACAACAGAAGATACAGACACACACATTCACACACACACACAAAATGAGGCATGAGTGCTCAAGTCTTTTATTAAAAGTTGGGTCATCTTACAGTACCATTGTCACTAGGAATGGGGAGGGATAGGAGGAGTATCCCAGAGGGGTCTGAGGGAGTAAGAGGACTGACTGGACGGGATGGGCTCCACCACAACTGCTGAAATGTTCAGGCAGTGCGAGTCAATTCTCAGCCAAAGCATGGGATTTGTGCGTGGATTTGGAGGTAACTTTCCTTGGTCATGGGCATTTATTGAATCCCTTCTGTACCCCAGCTGTCAGTGACAGACACTTTTCAGGGGTTCTTTGGCAATGTTGGGAGATATCTTGTGTTTTCACAACTGGGGAGGGGGGTGCTCCTGGCATCTCGTGGGCACCACACGCTGCTATGGCTTGCAATGATGCCCTCCCCAACTAAGAGTTATCTGACCCCAAACGTCTATATCCTGGGTTAGAGAAACCCTGCTGTACATCAACTTGCTTTCTTAGACTCACATTTTACAAATTAGACAACTGAGGCTCAGAGAGGGGAAGTTCTTGGCCAAGGTCGCCCAGCCGGTTAGATTTGGAGCTGGATATGAAGGCAAGCCTGTTTCATTCCCCACCCACTAACTCCCAGTTGTGGGAGATAGGATTAATTTCAAGTTCTGGCAAATGCGGCTCAGAGAGGTGTTGTGACCAGTCTAGGGTCACACAGCAGAGCTCTTCCAGTGACCTTTATTATTCTGTGAGACACTCAGGAAAAGGCCAGCCCCCTTTTAGAGTGAGTCCACTCCCCACACCCAGTGATCACTAACTCACATCCCGTTATTCTCTGCCCAGGACAGCTTCCCTCACTTATACCTCAGCCCCAGGTCAAATGCCACCTCACCCAAGATCCCAAAGAAACAGGGATCTGGGGTGGAGGGGGCAGGGCCACCCCACTCCCTCCCTGCTTTTAGGGACTTGTAGTGTTTCCCCTGAGGACACTGGGAGAAGGATTCTAAAGTTTGGAAAGGAGATAAATAAGCAGTAATGTTCCTGGCCCAATGTTGATTATAGTCTAAAAGGGGCATTTAACTGACTCAGGGAATCTTCTGCAGAGACTGTGGGGCAGGTCAGGGACTCATGGGTAGGTTGGAGACAGGGACCAAGCCTAGAGATTAAGCACCACATGCCCTAATCATTAAGGACAGAGACTTCCTAGGTGCTGGGTTCTGATGCAAGAATTTCCTATGGAGTGACCCCCAGCCCTGTGCGGGCCCCTGTTGCAGGACACCGCTATTCTCCCCTGTCTTGAGGGAAACGCTGAGATCTACAGGTTAGGAAGCCGGCCCAAGGGTGCCCTGCCTGGGAGCTATGGAGGGATCTGGGCAGCACCTGAGTGGCTGGTTCTGGGTCTTAGAGCCTCTAGGTGGATCCATACCTTCCTCTAAGGCAGCTGAGGACATTGCCTAGTGGTTCCAAGATTATCAAGGTCACGCAGAACTGCCCCACCAGAAGCTGGGCTACTCAAGGTGTTACCATGGGTGCTGGGGCACAGGAGGGCCGCTGTCCCTCCAGAGAGGTGGGAAGGGCAGGGTCACCTGCCAAAGAAGTTTAGGGAGAAGAGGGAAAGAACAGAAGGAAGGGAAGAGGAAAGAGCGAGCCCGCACAAGCCCTTAGGCGCCTTCCAAATGTCGCAGGGGGCCCAAGGACACCGAGCGCCAGGGAGCCAGGGGAGTGGGCTGGGTGGGCCTTACCGGGTGGTGGGCTGGCTCAGAGCGGCTCGCTGCCTGCGGTTCAAGTCTGGCGCGCCGGCCCCGGCGTGGCGGCTGCTCGGCGAGTGGCGCGTGTCGGGTGGGAATGGCGTAGATCGCGGGGGACGGGAATTGGTGCGGTGGCCTCTGAGCGCCGCACGATCTGCCAGCCCCAGGTTCCTTCCGGAGCTTCTGACGATGGCGCTGAGCGCGCAGTGCGGCCTCCCGGCCCCGGGGCCCACCGAGGACTGTGCGGCGGCGGCAGCGCGGCGGGCACTTGGCAGACGCTCCCTGCGTCCACGGGCCCTCGCGCGCCACTCCGTGACCCGAAGCCGTGACCCGATGCCCTTGCGCCCATCCGGGATATGGCGCTCTAGGGAAGAGCGGACACCGCGCGTCCGCGCAAGGATGGAGGCCTTCAGAAGCACAGGCGGTGACCCCAGCCGGCGACGTCGCGGCGGGCGGTGCCCACCCCGGACCCTGCGCCCAGCGGCCGCCAGCGAGTGCAGGAGTCAGCTGTGCCTCCGCCTCTGCGTCGTCAAGGAGACCCTGGGCACCGAGAGGGACTATGTTGGCACCTTGCGGTTCCCTCCCTCGGTGAGTGTCGCCGGGGCTCGGGGACAGCCTCCCCCCCGCCCCGCAACCCGTGACTTCAGCCCCGGTGGGTGCTCAAGGAGCATGGGCAGCGCTGGCGCGGGCACCAGCACCTCCACTCCTGCAGGTCTCAGGCTCGCCTGGATCCTCCCAGGGTCCCCTGCTCCCAGCTGCCAATCGTGCTGCCCTTTTGTCTTTTTCTCCCAGCTCTCCATCCTTTCAACTAGTTTTAAAATGAGTGACATCCTCAACGCATGATGCATTGAGGATCCTTCAGTCACCTGGTCCTTCAAGGCCGATTGGTGGGACAGACTAAGCTACTCTGATCCAGAAAAGGAGTAGGATAAAGCCCAGAGGAGCTTGCCAAAACAAGAAACTGTGGTTTTGTGTTGTCCCTATCTTTTATTGTTTAAAAGATGTCTTTTGTGCAGGGCTTTGCACTTTCTAGGCAGGAGTTCTACCCCTTAAGCGACACCCCCAGCCTGTAAGATTTCTGCACTCCCAGTGTCACAGGAGGAAGAAATGCTGAGGGGGCGCTGGGGATGGGGGATCTCACTTTTGATCCCTAGTCATCCAGACAGAATGATCTGCCTGGTCCCTGGGAGGGTTTGTAGTGGCTGTGTTTGGAAACCAGGGTGGGGAGAAGCATAGATGACAGTTGACTTTTGGAAAATCTTCAGTAAACACAATGTCTGTGCTTAAGGTTACAGTAGTGGCCTCAAGGAACTCATGGAAGGCGGTGTGTCTTTGGAGAGAGGCTAGCAGATTAAAAAAGGGAAAAAGAGTAGGAAGAAATACGTTTGCAATACCTTTTCATATAAAGTTATGCATGTATGTGTGGACTTACTTTTAAAAAACGCCAACAGAAATGTTGCGTTTCAGCATGGTTGTTAGAGTCACCTAACCATGATGCATTTACACACCCTGTGGATAGCATTTTCTATGTATTAACTGAGAAGTTTCTGGAAACAGACACAGAGAGAGCAAGTCGATATCCCAAGACAGCCTGAGGGAGCTGGCATTTGATCCCAGGTGGTCTGGCTGCATAGCTGACAGTCCCTACCCCTACCCTGAGCTGCTTCAACATGGTGCTGTGGTCATGGGCAAAATGACTGTCCTTGGGTGACTGACTGGCTGCCCTAAGTGCTTGAGAATGAACTCTAAAGGTTTGGGATGCCAGGAAAAACTTTTTTGATAATCAAAACCTGTGTCAGCCTGGGCCTCCTTGCCTGTGTGGGGCAAGTAGAGCACAGACAGGTAGAGTTGGAAGATGTCAGACGGTTTTACTCATGCACAGGCGTGCACAGGCAGCTGTTGTACCTTCGAGGCAGTATATATGGTGTTGAAGAATCAGCCCTCTGCAGGACAGCCCAGTGGAGACAGAGCTCAGTGTGTTTCACGGAAGCCCAGTCATCATTATCCTGGTGCTGGCCCTGGTGGCTGTTCGTCTGTCACTTTCAGGAGAGATGGATGGTCTTGGTGTCCTGGCTTGCGGGATCTCAGTGTCTCCCTTTCTGGACAGTACCTCCTTTATCAGACTTGTTTGGCACGTTCCCCTCTGCAGAGAACCCACATCCTCTGCCAGGCAGCGCTCCTCAGAACCCTGAAGGGTTTGTGTTAGGTCTGGGAAGCCAGCTGTGCTGCTTGGGAGACCTGGCCTTTCAGATCATTGGTGGCTTTTCTGTTTCCCAACAGACAAGGCTCTGGCAGGGGAGGTGGCAGGGTCTGCAGACACTTACACCAGCACGCAGGGGTCCCCCCGACCTCCCTCCCAGGTAGAGGAGCAGAGCTGATTGTGGTGCTGGTGTTAGGAGACAGAGTTGGAGAGTGAGCCAGGTGGATTGTGGGGCTGAACCTTAGTGTCTGCAGGGAAGGATTTGTGATTCACAGAGTTGAGGACAGCCCTTGCCTGGTTAAGGGTGGTGGCCCTGCAGCTGATCAGGGTTCCATCTCCAGATCCCCTTTCGTAGCTCATGTTTTTCTTTAGGGACTGTGTTTTAGCTAGATTCCAAAGGCCCACTTAGGAGGTCCCTGGAGGACATTTCTGGCCCCAGCAGCTGATGGGGGCAAATTCTGTCACTCTCCCAGTGTAAGTAGTGTTGGTATTTTGGAGTGTATAGTGGTTTGTCTTAGGGTGTCCTGTGAGTGCTAGCTGTCACCAGGTAGATGCCAGGAGCAGCACCTCCCCAGTGGGACAGTTAGAAATGTCTGCAGACCTTCTCAGGTGTCCCTTGGTGCAGCTGAGTTCCCAGCTGAGAATCACTGGGCTTAATCCTTTGCCACCCTCTTTGCTCAGACCTTTGGGGACTTTACTTCAGATGGAGCAGTGTGGCCCATGTGACTGCAGGGTGTCCCGTGTGTGTGTGTGTGTGTGTGTGTGTGTGTGTGTGGTTAGGGCAGTAGCCAGATGTGGGTTGTGCTTTGTGCCTTGGGGCCCTCATGGCTCCTGGTTAAGAGCACAACCTAAGGGACTGGCACAGTGGCTCACTCAAGTGGTAGAGCACCTGGCTAGCAAGTGTGAAGCTCTGAGTTCAAACCCCAGTGCTGCCAAAAATAAAGGGAAGGGGTTTAGGGTGTAGAGCATGTGGCAAAGCATGCATACTAACTGCAAGGCTCTGGGGTTCAAGCCTCAGCTCCAAAAATAAATAAATACATAAAATAGATAAAAGCACCACCCAGGAGCGTAAAGGCCAGAGTTCAGGCCCCCATGTGACCTGGGCACAGTCCTTTGCCTCTTGGAGCCCCGTTTCCTCATCTGTAAAGTGGGGTGAGTGACGATGGATAGGAAATGAAGTGAGGGTGTGTGCTGTTTTAGATGGGATGTGGCCTTGTTTAGGCAGAGACTTGAAGGAGGAGGTGTCTGGGTCCTTGGGCGCTGAGTGCAGGCCGGGCTCGCAGGTTCTCCTGGCTCCATGGAGAAGCCCCGGGGAAGGGAGCCCTGCAGCCTCACTGTGGGCACTGGGAAGTTGAGTTTTATTTCTCAGCTCCTGCAAGAACAGAAGGGAATCTCGCTCATCTTTTGTCTTGTGGTCAACACTCACTCTGGGTTGCTGTCTGGCTCCTTCCCCAAGGTGGAATTGAGAGCCCATCCCTTGATCCTGCACCAGGGGAGGCGAGGCTCCTAGGCTGGCAGGACTGGGCCGAGATGCTGGTGGAAGCAGGTGGCTCAGTATCTTTGTGTGGCGTCTGGGGACCTGGACAAGACTGTGACTGTTCTCTAACATCAGCAAAGCCATGTGGGTGACAGTGGGCTGAGGGATTTGGTGCAGGAGGACATTCTGCCATGTGGCATTGGGTTCAAGTGCTGAGGTCTGGGCCGCTCTGTGGAGTCAGCCTGTCGGTCTGATGGTCTGATGCTGGTCTCTGCCCTCCGCGGTTGTGTGACCCTGCGGGAGGCGATGCCCTTCCCTGGGCCTTGGTTCCCTCATCTGTAAAATGGGTTGGGCAGTTGGCTCAGTGCCTGGCAGATTGCTTTATTTATTTTGTAATGTTTTTGTTTGTCTGTACTGGGATTTGAACTCAGGGCTCCACGGTTACTACACAGGAATTCTCTTCTACTGTGTGAGTCATGCCTCCGGCCTGAAATAGTTCAGATTCTTAGCATTTCCTACTTTCTGCACAAGGACAGTCATGGCAGGTCACCCCCCCCAGCACACTGCCTCTATTTCTTCCTGGGCTTGAAATGTGCAGGTCGGTTTATCTTGACCAGGCAGCCCCGTCCTGGGCCTTGTTCTCTGCACTCTGAAGACAGTGGGGAGCAGAGGTGTCCTGTCATGGAACCGAGGATGCTGCCCAGGCTCTGCTTCAGGAGCCACACAAAAAGTTTGAAGAGACTCACCCCCCACCGTACAGCCACCCAAAAGCTGGAAGAGTACCCTGCTCCGGCCTGCTGGGGGACTGTCACACACCCTGTCTCCTTTGCACCGTCACAGGGCTGTAAGGAGACTCAGTCGTCAGGTCCTTGCCCGAGGTCACACAGAGACACGAGGTTAGTTTTCTGCCTCGGCTTAACACACCGATACAACTTTGGTGGCCTAACACAGCGCTGCTTATTTCCTCGAGGTTTCTGTGGGTCCGAGGCTGGGTACAGTGTCACTGAGCTCTGCTCCGGTCTCAGGAGCTGCAGCTCAGGAACTGACCAGAGCTGTGAGCTCAGCTGAAGCTGGGGCAGGAAGGGGTTTTGTTTGTTTTTGGACCTTGGATCCAACCCATAGCCTTCCCAGAGCCCCACCCCATCCTGGGACTCAGTTTTGCATTCTGTGCAGAATTCAGTTTATAGTTCAGAGGCCTCACTTTCTTGCTGGCTTTCAACTGGAGATCACTGTCCTCTCCTAGGACCACCTCAGATCTGCTATGCTACTGTATCACACCATGGCCATTTCCTCACAGGTAGCAGGTAAATCTTTTGCTTCGAATTTGTCCTTTTAGGAAGGACCTACATGTGTCCATGTCCATGTTTTCCTCCCATCCCCCTCAAGCTTTAGTGTCTCAATTCTCTTTTAATTCTCACCTGATCAATCCAGGCCCACCCAGACAAAACTGATTTGAGACCTTAATTACATTTGCAAAGTACCCTGACCTGTGGTGTGTACTGTATCAATTATGTGTCGTAAACTAAATGTGCTTCAGCTCACATCCACACCTCTGCTAACGTGAGGGGCATACATGTAGGAGGGAGGAATCTTGGGGCATCTAAAGACTCTGCCAGCCAAGGGTGGTTGGTGGTGGATTTTAACTCAGGACTGGCTGATTTTAGAGGTCATGTTCTCACTGCTATTTTGTATGTGTTCCCTCTTTGACCTGGGTGGAATGGCCACAGGGAGGCAGCTGGTGGGCTGTGGAGCCAGCCAGGTTTGTTCTGAGTGAGGTTGGGCATGGGTGGGTGCAGTTCCCCCTGGCAGGGCCTGGTCTTCCTAACATCTCACACAGCCCCTCTGCGTGTCCTGAAATGCTTTCCCAAGTGCGTTGTCTGGGAGGAACCTGGAGCAGGTGTCTCCTTGGCACTCCTGTACATGGGGTTTGGGCTCAGACCCTGTTGTGGGGAGATTGTCCACCTGTCCCTCTGGAGGCATTGGTGTGGGTGTTACCTACTTAACTCCCTTGATGGGGAGGGGAGGAGGCTGGTTCATTGACTTCCCAAGTCTGAGGCTTTTCCAGGTAACTTACTGCGTAGTGATTTCTAGTTGAATTCTCTTGTGCTCAGAGAATGTGCCTGTGTGTTTCAGCCTTTTGAAATGGATTGAAATTTGGTTAAAACCTGCATATGGTCCAACTTACTTACCAACTGTTCCCGAGCATTTGAGAAGAGTGTGTGGCCTGTGAAGGGCATGGGAATGCCTTGCCGATGGTATCCAGGTCACGTGGCTGGTGGTCGTGGACAGTCTTGCTGGGTTTGTTCAGCTGCTCTCTGAAGAGACTGTGGAGTCTCCAGCTGTGACTGCAGACTTGTGTTTCCATTTTAGTTAGTGCATTTTCAAGTTATATGTTTCAGAGATCTGTGTGATGCCCATTGGTGATACTGCATGAATCAACCCTTTGATCATCAGGAAGTACCTCTCTCTGTCTGTTTGTGCTCTTTGTCCTGAAGTCTGTTTTGATACTACAATGGTGGTGTCATCTTTCTTTTCTTTCTGTTTTCTTTCTTTCTCCTTTCAGCTCTTTGTGTCTTGATTATTTCAGCCCATGTCTTATAGGCATCAAGCAGTTGGTTTTGCTTTTTTAAATACATACCGACAGTCTCTGCCTTCTAATTAGATAGTTTACCCCACGTATATTTAATGTGATTATTGACAGGGCTGGGTTTAGAGCCAGCATTCTGGTTTGTTTGACAGGATAGCAAAGATGATAGAATGTCCCCTTTCTCTCCCAGCCCCACTGTAGTGGAGGTAGAAGGAAGGAAAATGGAGGTCCTGGCTTAGAGGGCACTGTGGGATCAGGCCTGGGCTCAGTACACCAGTTTCTTTTCCCCCTTCACTTGTTCTGCACTGACCTCAGCAGCTTTCTTTCTGGTCATGAACTCACTGTGTGTGTCCAAGTCTTCTGAACTCTTCCCATGGCACTAACAAGCCACTTTGACTCCTGATTTATGAAGGCCTCTCCCTCCCTCAGCTCCCTGCTCAGGGCCACTTCCTCAGCCTCCCAGGTCTGTTTTCTTCTGAAGTAACCTTGGCTAAGTCATTGTCTCCCATTAAGACCAGAGTCTGTCTGCTGTGGTCACTGGTTGGCCCCACAGCCAGCGCATACAGGCGCCCTGTTAATTTGATGAAGGAGAATGCATGGGTTAAATGGGGTCTCAAAGTGGCAGAGGCCTTCCTGGTGGCACGGTGACCTTGTTTGGGGAGTGTGAGCCCAGGTTGGTGGTCCTCTTCGGTAAGGCTCCTGGGCTGCCTGCCCTGGCCACACTGGGAAGATGGAAGGACCCCAGTGTTTGATTTGCCCGTCAGGGAGTTGTGTATGGTAGCAGCGGCCAGGCCAATGAGTGGGCTTTGTGAGACTGATCTCCCCATTACAAAGGGGTCAATACAGTGCGGTGCGTGTGTCTAAGGGACATCCCCCAGACTGTCTGTCTCCAGCACCATGCGAGGTAAGATGATGTTTGCGTACAGAGCTCACTGGTGTTACACATCTCTGCATGGATGAAGGCACAAAACCAGGTGTGGGTGTTTATGGGCAATTTAGTGCAGTTTTCATTCTCTCCCCACCCTGCACAGGCATATTGTTGTTTGGATTCTTTGGGGAGTAATTTTGTATTCAGGCCCTGAATACTCCAGCACCATTTCTTCAGCACCAGAGTATTCTCTTAGATAACCACTGCTAAGTGAACACAATCAGGAAACTTAACATTGACACCTAGTCATGCACCCCACAATCCATATTTCCCCCTCCCCTCATCCTTCATTCCCTCCTCTCTCCCAGGCCCACATTGACATGCCAGCTATGGGTGAGGCCAAAGGTAGGAGGACCGGCTCTTGGCCACATCCAGAGACCATACCTGAAAAATACCTGAAGCAAAATGGATCAGGCATGTGTGTCAAGTGGTCAGCGCCTGTGTAACAAGCATAAAGCCCTGAGTTCAAACCGCAGTGCCCCAAGAAAGAATACGTTTACTAAAGGGGCAAAGATGTGTCAACTTTATAAGTCTGAGTGAATTGATGGGTGTGAGAATCCTAGAAGCAGACTGTTAGAAAGGGAAACTGAGTCACCAAGTTGCTCAGTGGCTTGGCCAAGGGTTACCAAGTGAGTGTGGGGCTGAGCTGGACCCTGAGCCCAGGTTTCCTAGCTCCTGACCCCGTGATTCTGCTGTGTCCAACAGCTAACACCTCTAGAGGACTTAGCCCATGATGCTGACCCTGTGCACCTGGGGCCTCCCAGGGCTCTTGAGGCTTCACCTTCAGACTGAGGTTTCAGTAAACTGGGAGTTTGGGGGTGTTTTCTGGTGGAAAGTCACTTAGTGTGCCCTTGCTGTCTGCTGGGTCTCGTGCTTGCTGAAGCAGAGCCGCTCACTACTGTTCACACCAAAACCACGGGTTCCTACCTGGGGGTCCTCAGGCCAGATCAGGCGTCTAAGTGCGTTTTTGTCAGCCTTGCACAGTGTTTTAAAACTGGCTTATTAGTTGTCAGTGTCTCAAGAAGTTATTCAGATGACAGCATCTACATTCAAAATGTATTGCACAGCAAAGCCTGCCAGTATGGCATAAGCCGTGGTATCTCATGAGAGATGTGACTGTGACTAAGGAGTGCATTTCTGAAATAAAATTGGCAAGACTGGGATGTAGATCCATGGTGGAGTGCTTGCCTAGAGTGTGTGAACCCTGGATTTGATCCTCGGTACCGCAAAGAAAAGTAAAAAGAAAAAAAATGTGTGCTTGAAGCAGGTTTATGTGAGTGCAGTAGAGAGATGACTGTTGAGTCATTGTCAGTGTGGGCAAATCCAGTGTCACCTGTTACAGGAATTTCTTTGAGTGTGCACTTGAGGAGGATGGCATGAGTAATCTCCATGTAACCTAGGACCTGTGACCATTGCAGACCAGAAGGGGCAAAGTGGCTCCTGTTAGCCAGACCTGGCCTCAAGGCTTATTTGCTTTGTCGCTGCTGTAGTTTGTGTAGTTGGATCTGGAAGATCTTCTAAAGGCCCAGGTGTGAAGGGATTTGTCTTCAGGGTGGTGCTATTGGGAGGTGTGGCTAGAGTTCTTTGGGGTATTCTTTCTGTCTCTCTCTCTCTCTCTCTCTCTCTCTCTCTCTCTCTTTCTCTCTCTTTCTCTTACACAGGCTACGTTGAATTCAGGATCCTTCTGCCTTAGCCTCATGATCAAAGGTGTACACTACCAAGCCTGGCTGTAGATGGGATTTTTCAAGATTAATTTTGGTCTTGTTATGATAAATTTTAAATGCACATATGAATTTTTAATGATAGAAATTACTTGAAGCAACTAGATCTCTTGACATGACTGTGCTGTCTCAGTAATGTGTGTTATAATTGTGCTTTCGTAGTGTGGATTTGACCTGCACCATAGAGTTTGATTTCTTAAAGGATACCTGCAACTACTGCCATTCAAATTCATGCTGGTGACATGGAAAAATGAGGAGGCTTCATCCAGTTAGTCATCATCCAGCAGGTATGTGTGAACATGTGAAACACTCTGCTCTGTCCCTGTTGTATCATCAGAGAACCCAGACCACACCCTGCCTTCTGGCAACACCACTACAATCCAGAAAACACTAGACCACAATGAGCTTGTTCAAAGC